CTTCAATGATCCCTATAACTGAGGGATCCTACAAAGTGTCTACTAAGAATGGTACTCTACTGAAATCTAGAGGAGTGGAGGTCTCTGATAAAGGAATTAAAGATAGCACAGTTGTGGTTCCTTGTGTCAAAGTTACTAAGGATGCGATTGCTAGCCAGTCTCTCATAGGGACAACCAATAAAATTGATGATATCTTAGATGACATAGGATCCAGTTTTAGTAGTAAACGGAATGATGATGGGGAGGGGGGGTATGATCCGGGACCTTGTCCTAATGTGTAGCATCGTCTCATGGAATATAAGGGGTTTGAACTCACCCCTGAAAAAAAAAGGAAGTTCAAAGATTGGTGGCAGTAAATAAGTATGATATAGTCATTTTAGTAGAAACAAAAATGACCAGAGTTCAGGGTGAACAGCTCTGTAAACAACACTGGCAAGGTTGGAGGTGGTTAAATAACTATCAGAGTCATGAAAGGGGGAGAATTATGGTATGGTGGAACAGTGAAGTGATAATCACTAAGATAAAACACTCCTCTTTTGCTGCATGAAGTTACTTACGATTAGGCGAGCTCACCTAAAGTCAGATCGAGGGCTATTTCTTATACGGGGCAAAGAGAAGGCGAGGGATGGATTTAGGTTTCATCCTGCATACCACATCTCTCACAAACTGCATACACAATTCCTTCATTGTGTGTGTTCTACCAAAGTAGATAAGAGCAGTTTCTTTCTTACTGCTATATATGCTTCAAATGATCAAGTGGAGATGTCAAAGTGTTGGGTTGATTTAATAGAGCTAGCACAAAGTATTAGAAGCCCCTGGATGATTCTTGGGAATTTAAAAAAAAAAAACAAGGCCAGAAGAAAAGTTAGGTGGGAAACCTGCTTATGTACAGGACTTTGAAGAATTCTAACATTCTCTGGAGGAATGTAGAGTTAAGGATATGTGCCAAACTGGAAAATGCTTTACTTGGTGTAAACAACGGGTTGGTGTAGAAAGAATCTACGCAAAGCTGGACAGAGTGTTAATTAATGGTGAATGGATGGATCACTATTCTGATTCCTTGGTCTCAGTGTTGCAGGAAGGAATTTCAAACCATTCCCCCTTAGCGGTGACAGTGAAACAGGAAGTGGTAAGAAAGTTTAAACCTTTTCGATTCTTTAACATGTGGAGCTTAAAGCCGCAGTTTATGCTGTTTGTTCAACAGAGTTGGAGGGAGCGTGTTTCTGGTACCAAGATGTTCCAGTTATGCTAGAATCTGAAGAGGTTGAAACAAGGGTTGAAGAAACTGAATAGAGAACAATTTTATGATATAGTAGAGCAAGCACAGAAAGAGGAAATTCAGTTAAAAGATTTACAGGAAGCAGTTAGCTTGGATCCTCTTAATGATGTCCTTCAATGCCAAGAAAGGGATTTGTATGTTAAGTACATTGCAACAAGAACAACAACAGACAATTTTTTGAAGCAAATGGCCAAAGAGAAATGGATTTCTGAAGGGGATGAAAATACCAGATTTTTTCACTCCCTGATTAAAATTAAGGGAGCCAGAAACAAGATATGGTCAGTAGTGGATGATCAGGGCAGAGAGGTGACTCATCATCAGGAGATTGAAAATCATTTTGTTCAATACTTTCAAAGGATGCTAGGACAAACTGCTAGCCAGAAAAAAGCTGACATGGAAACTTTCAAATTGGGGCCAAGACTGATTGATGAACAACAGTTATCTCTTATCAAACCAATAAGCAGGGAAGAAATCAAAGCTGCACTGTGGGAAATGGATGTGAACAAAAGCCCTGGACCCGATGGATATGGCGTAGGCTTCTTCAAAGTAGCGTGGGAGGTTTTTGGAGATGATGTCATAGCTGCAGTTTAAGAGTTTTTCAGCTCTGACCAGGTATTAAAGCAGTTTAACTCTACTATTATTGCTTTGATTCCTAAAGTTGATTCGCCTCTTGATGCTAGTCATTATCATCCCATCTCTTATTGTAACGTAGTATATCAATGTATTTCTAAGATTATTTGTAATAAAATGAAAGATGTATTGGTTGTCTTGATGGATGAGAACCAAAATGCATTTGTAAAAAGTAGATTGATATTGCATAATGTGCTTATCACTCAAGAGTGGATTAGATTATATAGACATAAGGGGATAAGTAGCTGAATGATGATGAAGATTTTATTTTAAAAAAGCATATGATATGGTTGAATGGGGGTTGTCGAAGAAATGTTGGATGGTTTTAGTTTTCCAGAAGAGTTTAGAGCCTGGATTATGACTTGTGTGACAACCACTAGTTATTCGTTAGCCATAAATGGTAACCCTAGTGGTTTTTTTGTTGGCAAAAGAGGTTTACGATAAGGGGACCCTGTTTCCCCTTTGTTGTTTATTTTGGCGATGGAGTTTTTAACTAGAAGCCTAAAAAAGATAGTAACACTAGAGTTTAAATTCTACCCCATGTGTCGTGACTTGCAGCTTACTAATATCTGCTTTGCAGATGATCTCATGATTTTTGCAAAACAGATGTTAAAATAGTTAGTAGTATCATTAAGGTGTTGAATGAATTTACGGAGACTACTGGTCTAGAAGCAAATCCTTTGAAATCTTCAGTATACTTTGGTGGTGTAGCGCAGGAATTGCAGAATGATATTTGTAGGTTAACTAACTTCCAGCCTGGTAGTTTTCCTATGAAGTATCTTGGTGTAGCACAGTCGCCAAAGAAGTGGTCTAGCCTTGATTGCCAGTTGATAGTGAATAGAATAGCTGCAAAGGTAAAATGTTGGAGCTCGAGGCATTTGTCGTATGCTAGTCGACTATGCTTGGTAAACTCAGTTCTAATGTTTATGCACTCTTACTGGGGTACAATTTTCCTCCTGCCTCAGAGCGTAACTAATCAAGTGAACAGAATATGCCGAGAGTTTCTGTGGAGTGGAATGGTAGGAGGAAAGAAAATTTCCGTGGTCAACTGGGAGGAAGTATGCAAGGAAAAAGGTGCTAGTGGGTTGGGAGTGAGAGATGCGAAACAGTGGAATAAGGCAGTTGTAGCAAAACAGGTTTGGCATTTGGTAACCCAAAAGGAGTCTTTATGGGTAAAATGGGTATATGGGGTGTACATAAAGGAGGGCTCTTTTTGGGATGTCCAGGTGAAAATGATTCGAGTTGGCATTAGAAGCAACTCTTGAAGCTATGAGATCAGTTCAGAGATGGCTTTGATGGTAACAGATGGAAGGCTTCTAGTTTTGGACAGTATACTATCCATTCTAGTTATCAATAGCTGACGAATGGTGGACATAAAATTCGGGAAACTCAGTGCATTTGGGCCAGTAGAAATATTCCTAAGCATGCATTTATTGCTTGGGTTGGGTGGAAGAAAAAATTGCTTACAAAAGATAGGTTGACAGTAATGCACATGGTGATTCCAGACTTGAATTGTTTGCTTTGTAAACAGTCTGCTGAAACTTGTGGACATTTATTCTTGGAATGTGGATATTCTAAGGGTTTGCTTAACCTGATAGTGAGTTGGTTAGAGTGTAGAAGACTCTCAGAGATGGAAACAAGTTGGAGGGCTCAACTGTTAAAGATGTGGACTAAATGCAAGCTCAAGAGAGAGATTCTGCTAGCAGCTATAGTGGCTTGTGTTTATCATTTGTGGGACGAATGTAACAGGAGAAATTTCACAGATCAAGAGAGGACTACAGAAGAGCTGTTGCTAATCATTCAGAGAGAGTTGAAATGCAGGTTTTGGCAGGGCCCGAGAAGGAAACTAACCGGTGCAGGGACTCAGATATTGCAGTATTATTTTCCTAGTTAAGTTAGTGTTAATTGTTGCTTTATTATGTCACTTTTATGTTTCAAATTGTGAACTAGTAGACTGGTGTGATGGTTTGCCATCAATAGTTTTGTAGCTAGTGGAAGTGAGATGTAAAGTGTTTCATGAACTTCATTGGTGACCATGTGAATATATATTTACCTTTTCACTAAATACATTCCCAATAAATTATTTAGAAGGATAATATAGATATTTAAAAAAAAATTATTCTTAATGTAAAAAAATTGATCTCAATTTATCAACTCCTTTTTGAAAATTACGCATGATTTACTGTCTTCAAAAAATTAAAAACAAAGTTATTCAAAAAGTAAGGAAAGTAAAAGCATTTACATTCACCCGTGCTACAAACCAAACAATTTGAAATCAAAGAATTCAAATTTATCCTTGTCTATGTTTGGTTCATTTTTTGGTTGGTTTTTTCATAATTTTTAATTAATACTTCTTCCGTCCCATAATTATGTCAAGTTTGGATTTTTATTTTTAGAACAGAGAGAGTATTTGTTCCATTCCAACATATTTTTTTATATTTTAATGCAATTTTACATTTTTAATATAAATTTTTCATTCCCAATAAAAAAAAAACGCATTAAAAAACCGCACTCGTGAATCTTACCCGATTCCCCAGCCAGGTTCACCTATGTCATTGCTCACGTATTTTGGTAAGCTAGTGGTAGTAATCTATTTTATTTGTCAATAAATGCGACACAAGGTTGACTTCAACAAAAAGTATATTTAATCAAGAAACAGTCCCAAAAATGTTTGATATAGTAATTATAGTGACATCCTTATTGAAATGATAAAGTAACTAACCATTTGTTTATATGTTTGGTTCAATGAAAGATTTACGTGTTTTTTTTTTCCTTTTTTTTTTTCAAAAAATTTTGTTAGGAAAAATTTTGAGATAATATCTAACTTATGAAAAACGATCCCAAATAATAATTCGAACAATCTCATACAAACTAAATTACTAAAATGTATCTATGTGGTATTTATGTTTTGTGAGTTTTAGAAAGATTTTCTTTGTTCCTAGAGTAATATATCAAATTAATTCTTATTTATAAAGAAGAAAAACATATTACCTTCAAATTAATCAGTTTAACTTTAACCTCTTTAAATTTAAATATACGAATACGAATACGACCAAGTTCTTGTAAAAATGCTTTCAACCTCTTAAATTTACTTCTTCATTTCGAGTAAACTTCAAAATGATAACTTGGAATATGTCAAAATGGATGTGTCTGGACAAAAGTGAAAAAAGTTTCTGGTTGATTCAATATTTATCTAAAATATTGGGGTCCAAATCTAATTGACACCCAGAAGTTGTGAAATTTTATTACAAGTGCATGCAATAAAAAAATATCCCTTGCCATTTTCAATAATGTCTATATAAGTTCTACACAGCTTACATCTGATGAGTACAAAAACTGATAAAATCATCGGCCATGGCTACCGACGGAGGTGAGAAGTCAACGACGAACCCAGCCCTTGAACCGGATCGCGATTCACCGGTCCAACCGGGTCTTGAATTGGCCCAATTCGCCGCCGGATGTTTCTGGGGCGTGGAATTGGCCTTCCAGAGACTCGAAGGCGTGGTGAAGACAGAGGTGGGTTATTCTCAGGGCCACGTTCACAACCCGAATTATAAACTGGTCTGCACCGGAACCACCAACCATGCTGAAGTTGTTCGAATCCATTTCCACCCGAATGTCTGCCCGTATACTAACTTGCTCTCCCTTTTCTGGTCTCGCCATAACCCGACCACTCTCAATCGCCAGGTACCCGAGTTTTCTTGTTCTTGCTTATTTGCACTGTTCAATTCAATTTTTTTCCGATTTCTTCTGGAACATTATAATTTGTTTTGCATGGTCTTATTGGAAGTACCATTTATTTTTAGGAAAAGGTTTGGCTTATGTTGCTTTGGATTTATTAGTTTAAATTTGTCCTTATGTTATTGTTTTCGGTTTTGAAAATGAAATGATCCCACTATAATGAGGAATTTTGTTTTTTGGAGGTGTTCTTTGGTACTGTTTGAGAACGAAGAATCAAAGTGGAAGTTTCAAACTTGGAAGTTTTAAAGACAAATGATGTCGGTTTGTGATTAAAAAAATTAAATCTAAATGCAGAGTCTATATACACGCTGATAGCTCATTCCAGTGTTTGGTTGTGATCTAGAAGAATTTTTTGGAAGAAATTCTTGATTTGAATTGGGCTTTGTTTTGACGATTTTTGGGTACTGCCTATCCTTCATTGCTTGTGCTGCCCTACAGCTAGTATTATGATAGTTTGTGCGAATTTGCGATAAAGTTTTACCTGCTAGATTTGTAAATTATGGCAGATCAGAGGGAATAGCAGCAATTGCAGCTTACATTACTCAAACATCTCATTCCAGTTCGATCGAAAATATTTACTTAGAATGCAATTGTTTATGTGTATATCACATGAAGCAAATTTTGACGAAAGGATCGTGTTCTTCTGCACTAGTTTTTGAACTTTGTGATTGAGTTTTCTCAGTTTTATTCGATTAATGTGTTAGTTGAAAAAATAGTTGACTATTTCAGCGAGAATACTCTATATTTTCTTGTTATGCATGCTGAGCTGGTGAGGTCTACAACCTTTGTTTGGTCAGAAGCTGCGTCCGGTTGTATATTTAAAAGGTCAAATTAGTCAATTTGATGCCCTTTCAAAGAAGGGAATAAGTTTAATCAAGGATTTTGAGGTAGTGTCGATTTGGGTTTCAATTTGATGTGCAATCAGTGGCTTATACAATGAAGTACTGTTATTTTAGCCTGTGTACTTTCATGTAGAAAAAAAGAATACTTGTTTACTACTTTATGTTTAGTAGTGTTAAGTTGCTTCGTTGCATGATGTTATTTTTAGGGTGGTGATGTTGGTACACAATATCGGTCTGGTATTTACTACTATAATGAGACCCAGGCTCAATTGGCACGAGAGTCACTGGAAGAAAAGCAGAAGGACTATAAAGATACAAAGATTGTGACTGAGATTCTTCCTGCAAAGACATTTTATAGGGCTGAAGAGTACCACCAGCAGTATTTGGAGAAAGGTGGAGGCAGAGGTAATAAACAGTCTGCCGCGAAAGGTTGCAATGACCCAATCCGTTGCTATGGTTGATGATACTGCAGTTCGTATACGCTTTATGGTGGTTCAATAAATGCTCGAAGTGATACAGTTTGCAAAGTGTCCTATGATATTATCAAACTTTTGAAAGTGTATTTTAACTCCTCAATCTTCAGTTTTATCCTATCACCACCATATTGTCTTATTAACTATGAGAACATCATATGATAAATGAGAGTATGACCTGTTTAAAGATGTCTTTTTGGTCGGAGAATGAGATTAATGAATTTTGGTTAGTATTGGTATGAAAACTTACCTGCTGTGGTGGTATGCACCAAAGAAACTGTGCTTTCTAGATGTCCTGAATTTCGTTAATGTTTGAAGAATGGATTTTGGATGTAGAAATATCTTTCATCTTGGAAGTATCAAATTCTTTCTTCTTGTTCTTACATTGAGGAAAGAAGCAAGAATACTCGAGGTTTGGGTGTGTGTTTCAGATAAGAAATGGAAGGTGTGGTTTGAGAGTTTTTCCATTCTCTGATACTGGGGTATTGTCTACTGCAGTGTCCAAATCAAGTGCTATACTTGGAATTGTTTGGTTTCTGGAAATGGTATTTTGCCTGATGCGTCTAATGTCCTTGTGGAAATTATACCAACTCCTGGTTTTTCCATTTTAAAGTCTGCTCTACTTAATTTGAACTGCAACATACGAAGTTAGCACGCTAAAAGGCAGCAGGAAACAGAAATGTTCTCTATGTCTTTCAGTTCAATGAAAAATGGAAACACAGAAAACAGGACATATGCTTTATTTACTAATCAAATCCATTAATCTACAGATTTGACATCAATAACATCACATCAGTGTGAAGTTGTGTGAAATTGAACTGAAAGCATTGAACATTAAAAGAGTTGACGAGAACTGCAACTCAGACATCAAAGGGACACAAATCTTCAGTTAAGGCAGCAGAGAAGCAAGGCTGCTTGTTCAGAGTTCATCCTTAGTCTCGGAAGCACCGATTGGATTGCTGGAGGAGTTCTTGACTGGATAAGAGGGTTCAATGGCTATACCACAAAGTCCCTCCTTATCATCGATTCCACGCTCCATTCTTATGTATCCTTTCTCTCCCCATTCAGTTCCCCAAGAGTTCCTGACAATCCAGTATTTGGTTCCATCTTGGGTTGTTCCATAGCCTACGATTGCGACACCATGATCCAGTTCTTTGCCACATTCTCCGGTAAACACTCCCTGCGACGCCATACAAACGTATCATATGATGAAGCAAAGAGAAACAGAAACCTCAAAATATTTGAGAGGGCATTACAACTCGAAAAGGTTACCTCTGAGTAAAACTGGAAATCTTCACCTCCAGCATCTATTGCTACTGAAACTGGTTGGTTGGCCACTGCTTTCAGAAGTGCCTCCTCGTTTTTGGTAGGTACGTCTTCATATCCATCAATTGATACTGCTGGATGGTTTAGCTGCAAATTGTGATTATCAAATGAGAACTCAGTTAGTTGCATGAATAGGAATGAAGTTCAGTTCAGCTAAATTCACTTAAAATTTACCTTGGTTGAATCACATCTGCCATCTTCAGCCTTGTAGGGGTAGTTTTGCTCAGTTGTTAGGCCTCCTCTTTTCTTGATGAACTGGAAGGCCAAATCCATTAGTCCACCATTGCATCCTTGATTCTCTGAGTTGTCGCAATCGACAAGTTCTTGCTCTGACAATGAAACTAACTTCTTTGTTTTGATTGCATTAATCCCTTCAACAGCAACAACTGTTGAAAATGCCCAGCAACTACCTGTTTCATACACCATGATAAAAACCAAAAGCATTAGCGTGACATCATAAGATTGAGCCCTTGTTTGGTTATGGATTTCGATTAGTAATGGCATAGAGAAGCAGGGGAAGTCACACAGTATTCTTACCACATTGGCCTTGATCCTTGATAGGATTAACAGCGCCTTTCTGCCTCCAATCAACAGAGGGTGGAACGCTGTCAACATTCGCGTACATAAACTCTCCACCTTCCTTCCGGCTTCCTTGAAGAGTCCTGTGGTGCTTAATCTTTGAACCTGCATACAAACTCTTGAACTCATGGTTAGTCATGTCTGCAAACTTGTTGAGTTTCAGCTTGTAAGGCTTATCCTTCTTGTTAAAGTGATGAACATAGTGAGCGTTCGACTTAAACACATTAAATCGCTTATGTTTCTCGTCGAGGCTCCTGGATATTGTGTGATGACTCCTCCACCTCTCATACATGTTCCACAAGCTCTCCTCAGTTTCCAACTCCTTCTCATGGAAGTCGAAACTCGCCCCGATGCTTAGGGCCAGAGCCAAAGAAAAAGCAAAGAGTAAGAACTTCTTCATTTCTTTTCGATTCTAGTCAATTATCAGTAATTAGCAATGTTGCTTGATGTGCTTTGATCCTGAATAATGAATGTGTTTATATAGAAGGTTGATCAAAGAGATATAGCAAGAAATTTGGTGCAATGACACAAGCTAAGTCCTCCAATAATGGGGGTACTTGATTTGTTCCTTATGGGCAAAAACTAGCCAACAATAATATTGTAGAGAGATCATGTAAGGATGGCATGAACTGAATGGTATGGATGTGTGATTTCTGTTCACAAGCAACTGCCCTTTATAGGTGGATTTGGAAATATAAAATCCACACCCCCAGTAATTTATTCATCAATAGAATTATAAAATAAGATTAAATAATCACAATTCTATTTGTAGAAGGTGTTAAAATTTCTTGCGTACACTCGATTGGTTTAGATAACAAGGAAGTTAGATCATTAATTTATACACCAAAATTAAAATAACTAGGTCTCTAAGGTGTTTGTGTGATCCGGCAAAAATAGTTAAAACGCGTTGAAGTGTGTTTCTAAGTGATATTTTCTCGTGATTTATGATCTGATTATAAGTAGCTCACGTGTTATGACATCCTTCTTTTTCCAAGTAACAGAAGCCTTTTGTGATTCCGGCCAATCCCAATTCGTTTTTTGGTCTCTTTTCTCAATCGAAAAGGGAAAATTTCAGGAGTTTGATATGGAAAAGATGTAGTTAAAAAGGGAGTAGAAAAAGGTACGAAAATGTGGATTTTCTGGGTACAGTGTGGACAAAGGAAACTGTTATGGGGAAGTGTGATTTTGTGGGGCGTTTAGGATTTGGGAGGTTATACACGTTATTGTGTTGTGCAAGAGAGGAATGGAATGGAATGGAATGATGACCGGTGGATTGGATTTTAGTTGGTTACGTCCGTTAGGCACTACTATTTGCCACGCTTTTTTTGCAATTTGCGGAGATACAAAAGCCTTCTAAACAGGTTGTTTGGGTTTTTTAGGAGTAACTGAATTATGATATCGTTCGTCCTATTTCAATGGTATACTTATTTTTTCTATAAATTTGCGTTCTCAAAAAGAATATATTTGAAGAGTAAGCATACAACAAGAGATAATAAGTGATCATTCAAACTATCATATTAGTTATATAATCCATGTAACTTTTAATTTTATTTCTTTTGTCAACAATGTTAAGGGCTTAAAGATTCTAACAAAAGGGGCAAAAACATAAATACCAAATCAAAAGTTGTACACTGTAAAGATTCAATACAGTTATTGAAGGTAATAGTGACGTGAAGTTTGATAAAAAACACACACAACGTTATTCGTACATCGATATGAAAAATAACACTTGCGTCGGTTGATGGATAGCGTCAATCGAGACTAAGTCATCTTGTTAAAAATTGTCAATTCTATATAAGTGAATTAGAAATAATAAGTAAACTATTCAAATGTACAACTCGAGTGTCATTAAACACGAATAGTGTTCCATATATTTTACAAGTTTATGTATACACATATAGTAAACTAGTAACTTTTATTACTTCCTCTGTTTTTGAGAAATAATTTACATTGAGTTTTGAAATTTTTAATGTTTGTGGTTGTTTTTTTTCATTTTTGAGCAGAATGAGATATTTTTTTATCAATTACATCATTATATTACTCATGATTAACAAAAAGCACTGGAGTGGGGAAGAAAACATGTTGTGCAAATGTGCATCTTGGAGAAATGGAGTTTAGACCATGCTAAACCACCAACTGGCCCATAAAACCCAAATATAAACGGACTCTGTGTGGATTACTGGATCGTTATTGTTGGCCCAAATGTTTTAGTTTTTCTGAAAAGGCCGAATGTTTAGTATCCTACAAACATGTACATGTTTATTTGTAATTGTTACTCCCACATAAGCATTTTAATGATGTTTCCGCAAAGAATGTGGATTGGAATTCATTTTTTAATCTTCATTTTAAGCTGGAAATGGATTAAGGATTGGTTTTTATTTTGTTTCAATGACGTCGTCTTTACTCGCTCTGATAGCTTAGTTCAAGCTTTTGGTCTTCTGAATTCACCTAATTACTCATGCCTTTGTCCTTGACTTAATTTGATATTTTTTGGAAATCGTTCAGTTTTTAATTAAATCACGGATCGGCTAAAGTTTTGACTAAAATCCAATTTGTTTTTCCTCATAAATCAATTATGTACTAAATCACAAAACCAATATATACAAACAACTTTTCAACCCTTTGGGATATCCATTACACAATCAAATGCCGTAATATGGCATCAACAAACTAGCTAGTATAACAAGAGGTAATAGTAAACAAACGTACACGTCCTAACAAATCATTCAAATTTTCCCTAAAATTCTATCTTTTGTTACACAATTAAGACAAATGTAGCACCGGCAACTTGCACATTCAAACAACCTCTTTCCATGCACACATTCACGGCCAGAAGCGCACCTGGAATGATAATCTCCTTCATGCCCTAATTTAAGAGGATGCGGCTGTTTACCATAGCATCGGTTGCATGTAGGGATCACTAATTCTATTCTGTGTGGTTAGGGATTCAGCAAAATTTACGGAAACAAGGCAATGCCCACGATTACTGACCTCCAGATAACTTTAAAGTCGAGGATTTTGTCGAGCAATTAAGAAACACACATATACTAAGAATGTGTTAGTCATTTCCAAAGGGATTTTCATCTAATAGTTTGCAATAACAAACCATATGACAATAAGTCCAAAAACCCAAGCAGGAAACACTCCCTCTATACCCAAAAGATCATAATAATCCAAACTAAAATAGTAATTATTCATAATTTTTGCAGAAGCTCAACAATAAGCTAAGCAAGTAGGAGAAGGCTAAAATAGTAAAATAGCTGATGATTTTCCATTGTTATTGGTTCAGATTGAAAGTAGGAGAAGGCTAAGCAATTTAGGTGTCTTTGCTTTAAATACATAGCAGCAAGTGGATACTTTATGCGTCGTTAATTCTCCTATCCTACCGCAAAAATTTGCTAGATTCAATCTGCCATTTCGATAGAAAAATTTGAAGTCCGTGTATTTTACTTCTTTTAGATTACAGTTTTGTTTAGTTGATGATTATGTTGAGTTTTGTTGTCTGTTCTATAATTCATTTTTGTTGCAGCATTCGACCGATGGTCCAGTCTTATTTGCTTTTCTACGAGATAATAGATCTTCTGGTAGCTTAAGTTGATCTAGATTTGTTTCTTGGTTGACTTACATGGATTCTGCCGGCGGGGATATTCACATTGTCAAATTTGGGTATATTTGGAGTGGACAGTTTTGATACCATTCTTTACGCGGGCCAGGTTAGCTAAATTGGAACTAACCTTCCGTCTTTTGCTGTAATTTACTGAGTTTTTGGTCCATGAGTCCATGTTTTCGTACATCTTCAGGGTGCTATGTGGTGGACCAAAGCCTACTGATGCAGATGGATTAACAATAGGATACAAGTGAGTTTAACTCGTGTTCCCTTGCAAATATTTTAAAGTTTATTATGAAATACTTAAACTACGTGTAATTATAGTCTGATTGGTTGGGAATTCAACATCAATTTGCTGGTATTAAGAGTAGCTGGCTTGGCCAAATAGTTTCTTACAATCTGAGTGGCCGGACGGTCGTCACGTGACATCATTCTTGCATCACGATTGCAACATAATTTTAATTAGTGGCGAAAGTGTCATTTACTAATTAGACATTAGATGAAAAAGTTTTTTCTCCCAAACCCCTATTACTTAAAACGACGTTCTGCCAAAACTTCCACTGCCAAAACGGCGACGTTTGAAGGAGTTTTCCCATTTCATTTTACCCCGTTTTCCTCCGGGTATAAAAGAATCTGACTTGCCGGGTCATGTTGAAAACCAGAATTCCCTCCCTTCTGCTTTGTCGCTGGCAAGGATGCGAGGGCGGCGAAGAAGAAGGAGAACGCCGAGGAGGAGAGAAAGAATTCTCTGAATTCTATGGATTCGAGACACAATTGAGCAATCACGACTTCACCGCTCAAAGGAAATCCAAACCAAAATTTAGAAAGCGTCACGAGGTTCGGCTCCTCTTCTCTCTTCGGATTTATGATTAATTTAGTGTTTTTTTAAAAACCTCACCTCCGCCCTACATCGTTTCCGTCGACCTACTTCTGAATATCGATTCTAATGTATTGGCAATTCTAAATTTTAGGGATTTGCCATCTTGAATTCCTATTGTGTTTGATGCTCTGCTTCGACCTCTGAAGGCTCCGCACCAATTCGATAGCTGGATTGAAGTGATGGAGCTCCAGCTTGCTAATCAAGATCAATTGGAGCTTGTGGTTTCTAATATAGCAGAGTCGTACGGTTTTGGGATTAGGGATAAAACGAGAAGAATTTATTTCACTCCAACCATCAATCTCTTTTCGGGTCTGAACTCTGAAGGCTAAAACCGTAGAACTGAACAACATTTGGCCTAAAGCGGTAACTTTTCACAGACCTGTTGACTTCTTCAATCTTTCTTTGTTTCCTTCGGTTCTGTTTTGATCTGTTATGATGATTTGATTAGCTTTAATGCCTCTAATTATCCTATTTTTGTTTCTAAATAGTAACAGAGAATTATGGCTTTGTTAGTAACTGGATATGTTCACTTCTTTGTTTTGCTTTTTGGATATTCCATAGATTGGGAGAAGAAGAATAGGAGCGAATATTTATTTGGTTGTCGGATAGTTTTTGACCGAAAGGGATAAGAAACACTTCCGCGGTTTAGGGTCTGGAATCTAATCTGTATACGCTTTTTCGCATTGTGTTTGACTCAATGTTACTCTCTCAAACCGTGCTTGATGAAGGCTTTACTGCACTAACATGTAGAGAAACGAAACCAAGGTGTCTATTTGATTTTACTTGCTCACTTTCCTCTTACTGTTTAGAGCTTATGCAATTGCTGTGTCATGTATAGACTAAAGAAAGATGCGTAGTGCAATTGGATGGCTTTATGTGCTTGTATATTCATGACTATTTTGCTGACATAGATTTCATCTGCCTTTTTCCATGTAAAATGGTACTTGTTGTGTTGTTCCTACCAGTTTCTTTGCAGAGCAACTTCCCTTCTTGATTTTTCAGTTTTGGCTGCTATATAATTTAACAACTATATTGTTTTTTTGTGCCTTTGCTTATTGTGGTTTGCTTACCTTTTTTTTTTTATAGAAAAAAAAAAGCTTCCATGTGTAGCATGTGTTATTGATGGCAGTAAAATAAATTTTTGTGGTTAAGGTTTTCATTGAGTTGTTTCCTTTGCTCAGTCTATGAATATGAGAATATTTATTTTGATGTTTCCTTTGCTTACCATCCTCCTTCTTTCTCCGCAGCTTCTTTCACCCCACTTTTCAGCCACTGCCGCATCTCGATCTTCCGCCGCCATTTAATCATCGATCTGAGGATTTTTAGATTTCTTAATCCTGCATCTTGTGCCTTGAATATGGGGTGGTGCAAGCTTTTAGTCAGATTCGAATTGAAGCATACGGAGATGGTTCGTTTTTATTCCGGTCAATAGCTCCAATCCTTTGCGTGGCCACAGAAATCTAGAGGAGCACCTACGGGTCATGTTTTTCTATAAGCGACTCAATCTCTCTATGTCTTCTCATGTTCTAAAATTATTTTTTTTTTGTGAAAATGTTCTGAAATTGTTGTTGCTACATATTTTTGAAATTTCTGTATTTGTTTCAATTTAGTTGTTATGCAGTTTATTTTGGAAACTTCAAAATGTCTTGCTTCAGATAATATTGCGAGCTTTTTGTTTGTAATTCAACCAACTTTCTGTGTAGTAACTTAGCACAATATGCAAATCTAATTGCCCTTATTCATATTACTCTAGGTGAAAAGGTTACAGCACAATGGTCTCTTGTGTTTGCCTTGATAAAAAGGAAATAGTTCTGCAGTGTAATAATGTTTTAATGTTGTTACTTATTGATTACAATCCTGAATATTACAAGATGTTAAAAAATCGCGCTATTATTTCTCTTTGGGTAGTGTCATGTTCATGACAACTGTTTTGCTCAGCACCAAAAGAAAGTGGAACACTTGCTTACACTTGATAGGCTTGAGTTTATATTTGACAGGATAGCTTTAGTGTTTATTGATCTAATATTGGATCTCTTCATGAAAGGGTGATGCATGTTTGGCATCATTGTGGTTTTTGCTTTCTTTATATAACCTTTTAGGTTATGATCTTCTAGATTTGGTATCTATCTACTTTTGCAATCATGATTTTCGTTGAACGAACTATATCTCGTAACCATTGGATGATTTAAAGTGAAAAGTAAAAATGAATTGTGAATTTTTCAAAAGTGCCCTGAAAGAGTCCTTACAAGTTTTGATTTGTTGAAAATAGGGTGGTGCAAAGAAGCTTGTTATCTCTGCTCCTAGCAAGGATGCACCCATGTTGGTCGTTGGTGTTAATGAGAAAGAATACAAGACC